AGTGAAGATGAAGAAACTACTGAAGAAGTGCCTGGGTGGCTCAGTTAGTTAAGCGTCTGCCTTTGGCTCAGGTCAGGATCCCAGGGTCCCGGGATCGAGTCCCGCAATGGGCTTCCTGCTGAGCGGGGAGCCTGTTTCTCCCTCTGCCTGCCACCCCTCCCTCCACCCCCCCCCCCGCTTGCGCTCTCTTGCTCTCATCGAAATCTTAAAAAAAAAAAAAAAAAAAACTATTGAAGAACATAATTTTGGGGCAAAAAGACTACTTCAGACTGAGAGAGGCACAGGGGTCTTTCCCCTCCCTAAAGGGAGACAGAAGAAGGGGGAGGGTCAAGAGCAAGAGGTAAGGATTAAAGTAGGAAAAACCTACAAAATGGTACATTATGAAGTGCATGTGAACTGAATCCTTAAAGGAAAATACATGCCCCACCAAATAAATTGGGAACCTCAAAACTCCATGAGAGGAATTTTTATTTTTAAGTTTTTTTCTTGCTTTCTTTATGAGAAGGTTCAAAAATTCCAGCTTAGGATTTATGGGTTTAGAAGAGGTTATTTAACAAATATGGCTGACTATAAGTAGTTTCAGCAAAGGAAGAAGAATCACTGATTTTAAAAAAACAAAGCATAAATTCTAATTTTAGGACCTCTTTAGTACTCTGGTAGGTGGCATATGATGGACTCTGTGATACATCTCAAGAGTCAGGCAGACCTAAGTGCTTATTAAAAATTAGAGGAAACATGAGGTTTGTTCCTGAAATAGCTCTCTGGCTACCACACATGCTGCGGCTGGACTCAGCCACATAAAGGTCTACAGTATGAGCCACCAAAGCCTATTAATACTGCAGAATATCTGTGTAAAAAAATCCCCTGAAACATATTAAAACATGGAGTACCTAACCAAGAGAATGCTGGGCTCTTTGCCCTGCACTGCTAGCTTAAATTCAGCCCAAGAAGACCCTAATTTCACATCGTCATTATCCAGAATGGGTAGGAACACCACAAGGCAGCTCAGAGATGTCGTGATCCAATTAAAGACAGCACAATCATTTTGTTTAATAAGAAAGCAATGTTTCTTAAATAAGCATCCTCATAGCTAAAAAGAAAAATGCCTTCCACATTCAGAATCACAACCAATTTTTTATGCCTGAACCCATTAACTATTCTCATTCTGGTGGGCTTCTGGACTTAATGGGGACAAAGAAGTTGAAAGAGTAAATCTCTAGGGTGACATTGTCTCTCACAGCTTCACAGTCTCAGGTCTGCCTCTCTTTCTCGTGTAGCCACCGTCAACTTACACAAGCTCTGACCTGTGTGTCTCTCAACATAGCCCAACAGCATCACCCACATTCCAGCACGTCCCCCTTTGGGACAAGTGAAGGCACAACTGCATGGCCTAGTTATGTTGTCACTTTGCTGCCACCTCCAGAGTGAAATTTTCTCTCCAGTCCTTTGGGATTCTCTCTGCTTATTGTGGTTCAGGCTATCGTCCACACCTTAGACTCTAAAAAGTTAGAAAGGACTAATTTATCTAGTCCAAGCATTTCATTTCCCAAAGTGTGTTCTGCTGATAACTGTTTTCTGGGGGGGGGGGGGGAATCCTTCGGACCTAAAGCTGTTTGGGATATGTTGAGTTAAACTATGTAAAACAGGTGTGTTTTTTTTTTTTAATTGCAGAACTTCTCAGGAACTTCAACCTGCAGATTTGTGTCCCAAAGCCCCTAAAGGGCAAGAGCATATTATTTTCTGAACTCACTGAACCACAGATCTTTTAATAAAAATGTGGAAATAGTCTAAGGGTTCTAGGGCGCCTGGGTGGCTCAGCTGGTTAAGCGACTGCCTTCGGCTCAGGTCATGATCCTGGAGTCCCAAGATCGAGTCCCGCATCGGGCTCCCTGCTCAGCGGAAAGTCTGCTTCTCCCTCTGACTCTCCCCTCTCTCATGCTCTATCTCATTCTCTCTCTCAAATAAATAAATCTTTTAAAAAAATAGTCTAAGGAGAGGGGCGGAGCAAAATGGCAGAGGAGTGGGAGACCTGGATTTCGTCTGGTCTCAGAAATTCAGCTGAATGGGGATCAAACCATTCTGAACACCCACGAACTCAACAAAAGATCGAAGAAGAGAGTAGCAACAACTCTGAACAGAGAAGCAACCACTTACTGGAAGGTAGGACGTGCGGAGAAGTGAACCTGAGGTGATACTCAGGTGGATAGACAGCGGGGGAGGGGGCCTCCGTTGGCCGCTTCTGGCAAGTGATAGAGCCGCGGAGCACAAAATTGGACCTTTTAGAACTCGGCTCCGCGGAGGAACGTTGCTTCAGTGGCTAAGCGGGGTAGGGGGGGACACCCTCCCGGGACAGTGTGGTCTCAGGACCCTCGGGGTCACAGAAAGACCGGGGGTGCCTGAGTGCAGCAGAGCTCCCAGGTATCGGAGCGGGGAAGCCGGCTGCAGAGACGGAGCCCAGACGCGGGCTCTCCGCTCGGGGTTGCCATAAACTGTGATCCACAGCCCAGTCGGGCCACTGCTCCTCCAGCAGGGACCCAACAAGCGGCAGAGCTGGGGAGACTCCCCTTCCTCCCCCGGGAGGAGCGGTGCGGGAGTGCACCGCTGGGATCTGCTGGGTTTGGAAACGCCACACAGGGTCCGGTGCCAGAGATAGAAACACTCGGTCACAGGCCGGGTGCGCACGGAGTGCGGCCAGAGACTGGGGAGACGGGAGTGAATGCTTTTCTCTGGGGGCGCACTGAGGAGCAGGGTCCCGAGTTCTCAGCTCCTCCAGGTGGAGATTGGGAGGCCACCATTTTCACCCTGGTCCTCCAAAGCTATACCGAGATTTTGCAGGGAACGAAAGCTCCTGAGAGCAAACCTGAGCAGCTTGCTTAGCCCGGACCGACAAGGGCGGGGCAATTCAGCTTCCAGCAGACATTTGGAAAACACGGCAACAGGCCCCTCCCCCAGAAGATCAGCACCAACAGCCAGCAAGCCAATTCCAAGTTTACTGATCAAGGAGAATGGGAGAACTCCAGCGCTAGGGGAATACTGCACACAGAATTCATGGCTTTTTTTTTACCATGATTCGTTAGTTCATCAAAGTTAATTTTTTTAAACTGTTTTTTTTTTAATTTTTCTTTTTCCCTTTTTCAACCAACATCATCAATCCTTTTTAAAAAAACATTTTTTTTCATTTTTAGAGTCATATTTTATCCCTTCATAGTAGTTACCCTTATTTTTGGCATAAATATATAAGTTGTTCTCTCTTTAAAATTTTGAGATAGTTTCTTCTGACAGATCAAAATATACCCTAAATCACTAGTGTATGGCTTTGTTCTAGTCTCCTGCCTGATCACATTCTTTTTTTTTAAATCTTCTTTTTTCAAACAACTTATCAATTCCTTTTATAAAATCTTTTATAATTTTCATCTTTACAGTCATCTTCCATCCCTTCATTGTATCAACCCTTAGTTTGTACATATATGTCTTTCTTCCTTTAAAATTTTAGGAGACACTTTTTTCTAACAGACCAAATATGCCCAAAATCTAGTGTGTGGCACTGATCTATGCACTAGCCTGATCATATTTGATCATATTCTGCTTTTTTTGTATGGTTCTGTTTTTGTTTTTATCTTTTTTTTTTCTCTTTCTTTCCCTTTCTTTTCCCCTGGTTTCAGGTCTTTTCTGATTTGTATACAGTATATTTGCTGGGGACGTTGTTAACCTGTTAGCATTTTGTTCTCTCATTCATCTATTCTCCTCTGGACGAAATGACAAGATGAAAAAAAATCACCTCAACAAAAAGAACAAGAGGTAGTACCATCAGCCAGGGACCTACTCAATACGGACATTAGTACAATGTCGGACCTAGAGTTCAGAATCATGACTTTAAAGATACTAGCTGGGCTTGAAAAAAGCATGGAAGTTATTAGAGAAACCCTTCCTGGAGAAATAAAAGAACTAAAATCTAACCAAGTCGACATCAAAAAGGCTATTAATGAGGTGCAATCAAAAATGGGGGCACTAACTGCTAGGATAAATGAGGCAGAAGAGAGAATCAGCGATATAGAAGACCAAATGATGGAAAATAAAGAAGCTGAGAAACAGAGAGATAAACAACTACTGGATCACGAGGGCAGAATTCCAGAGGTAAGTGATATGATAAGACGAAACATTAGAATAATTGGGATCCCAGAAGAAGAAAGAGAGAGAGGGGCGGAAGGTATATTGGACCAAATAATAGAGAACTTCCCTAATGTGAGGAAGGAAACAGGCATCAAAATCCAGGAGGCACAGAGAACCCCTCTCAAAATCGGTAATAATAGGTCAACACCCCAACATCTAATAGTAAAACTTACGAGTCTCAGAGACAAAGAGAAAATCCTGAAAGCAGCTCGGGAGAAGAGATATGTAACCTACAATGGTAGAAACATTAGATGGGCAACAGACCTCTCCACAGAGACCTGGCAGGCCAGAAAGGACTGGCAGGATATCTTCAGAGCACTAAATGAGAAAAATATGCAGCCACAGCTAGGCTGTCATTGAAAACAGAAGAGAGATAAAAAGCTTCCAGGATAAACAAAAACTAAAGGAATTTGCAAACACGAAATCAGCCCTCCAAGAAATATTGAGAGGGGTCCTCTAAGCAAAGAGAGAGCCTAAAAGCAGCATGGACCAGAAAGGAACACAGACAATATACATTAACAGTCACCTTACAGGCAACACAATGGCACTAAATTCATACCTTTCAATAGTTACCCTGAATGTAAATGGGCTCAATGCCCCAATCAAAAAACACAGGCTATCAGATTGGATTAAAAAACAAGACCCATCGATATGCTGTCTGCAAGAGACTCATTTTAGACCCAAAGACACCCCCACATTGAAAGTGAGGGGGTGGAAAACCATTTACCATGCTAATGGACACCAAAAGAAAGCTGGGGTGGCAATCCTTATATCAGACAAATTAGATTTTAAAACAAAGACTGTAATAAGAGATGAAGAAGAACACTATATCCTACTTAAAGGGTCTATCCAACAAGAAGATCTAACAATTGTAAACAGCTATGCCCCGAACATGGGAGCAGCCAATTATATAAGGCAATTAATAACAAAAGCAAAGAAACACACTGACAACAATACAATAATAGTGGGGGACTTTTAACGCCCCCCTGACTGAAATGGACAGATCATCTAAGCAAAAGATCAACAAGGAAATAAAGACTTTAAATGACACACTGGACCAAATGGACTTCACAGACATATTCAGAACATTCCATCCCAAAGCAACGGAATACACATTCTTCTCTAGTGCCCATGGAACATTCTCCAGAATTAATCACATCCTAGGTCACAAATCAGGTCTCAACTGGTACCAAAAGACTGGGATCATTCCCTGCATATTTTCAGACCACAATGCTTTGAAACTAGAACTCAATCACAAGAGGAAAGTCGGAAAGAACTCAAATACATGGAGGCTAAAGAGCATCCTACTAAAGAATGAATGGGTCAACCAGGAAATTAAAGAAGAATTAAAAAAATTCAGGGAAACCAATGAAAATGAAAACACAACTGTTCAAAATCTTTGGGATACAGCAAAGGCAGTCCTGAGAGGAAAGTATATAGCAATACAAGCCTTTCTCAAGAAACAAGAAAGGTCTCAAATATACAACCTAACCCTACACCTAAAGGAGCTGGAGAAAGAACAGCAAATAAAACCTAAACCCAGCAGGAGAAGAGAAGTAATAAAGATCAGAGCAGAAATCAATGAACTAGAAACCAAAAGAAAAGTAGAACAGACCAACGAAACTAGGAGCTGGTTCTTTGAAAGAATTAACAAGATTGATAAACCCCTGGCCAGACTTATCAAAAAGAAAAGAGAAATGACCCAAATCAACAAAATCATGAATGAAAGAGGAGAGATCACAACCAACACCAAAGAAATACAAACAATTATAAGAACATATTATGAGCAACTCTATGCCAGCAAATTAGATAACCTGGAAGAAATGGGTGCATTCCTAGAGATGTATCAACTACCAAAATTGAACCAGGAAGAAATAGAAAACCTGAACAGACCTATAACCACTAAGGAAATTGAAGCAATCATCAAAAATCTCCCAACAAACAAAAGCCCAGGGCCAGATGGCTTCCCAGGGGAATTCTATCAGCCATTTAAAGAAGAATTAACACCTATTCTCCTGAAACTGTTCCAAAAAATGGAAATGGAAGGAAAACTTCCAAACTCATTTTATGAGGCCACCATTACCTTGATCCCAAAACCAAACAAAGACCTCATCAAAAAGGAGAATTACAGACCAATATCCTTGATGAACATGGATGCAAAAATTCTCACCAAAATCCTAGCCAATAGGATCCAACAGTACATTAAAAGGATTATTCACCATGACCAAGTGAGATTTATCCCTAGGCTGCAAGGCTGGTTCAACATCCGCAAATCAATCAACGTGATACAATACATTAACAAAAGAAAGAACAAGAATCGTATGATCCTCTCAATAGATGCAGAAAAAGCATTTGACAAAGTACAGCATCCTTTCTTGATCAAAACTCTTCAGAGTATAGGGATAGAGGGTACATACCTCAATATCATAAAAGCCATCTATGAAAAACCTACAGCGAATATCATTCTCAACGGGGAAAAGCTGAGAGCTTTTCCCCTAAGGTCAGGAACGCGGCAGGGATGTCCACTATCACCACTGCTATTCAACATAGTATTAGAAGTCCTAGCCACAGCAATCAGACAACAAAAAGAAATCAAAGGCATCCAAATCGGCAAAGAGGAAGTCAAACTCTCACTCTCTGCAGATGATATGATACTGTATGTGGAAAACCCAAAAGACTCCACCCCAAAACTGCTAGAACTCATGCAGGAATTCAGTAAAGTGGCAGGATATAAAATCAATGCACAGAAATCAGTGGCATTCCTATACACCACCAACAAGACAGAAGAGAGACAAATCAAGGAGTCGATCCCATTTACAATTGCACCCAAAACCATAAGATACCTAGGAATAAATTTAACCAAAGAGGCAAAGGATCTGTACTCAGAAAACTATAAAATACTCATGAAAGAAATTGAGGAAGACACAAAGAAATGGAAAAATGTTCCATGCTCATGGATTGGAAGAACAAACATTGTGAAGATGTCAATGCTACCTAGAGCAATCTACACATTCAATACAATCCCCATCAAAATACCATCCACTTTTTTCAAAGAAATGGAACAAATAGTGCTAAAATTTGTATGGAACCAGAAGAGACCCCGAAGAGCCAGAGGAATGTTGAAAAAGAAAAGCAAAGCTGGCAGCATCACAATTCCGGACTTCCAGCTCTATTACAAAGCTGTCATCATCAAGACAGTATGGTACTGGCACAAAAACAGACACATAGATCAATGGAACAGAATAGAGAGCCCAGAAATGGACCCTCAACTCTATGGTCAACTTATCTTTGACAAAGGAGGAAAGAATGTCCAATGGAAAAAAGTCTCTTCAACAAATGGTGTGGGGAAATTGGACAGCCACATGAAGAATGAAACTGGACCATTGCCTTACACCACACACAAAAATAGACTCCAAATGGTTGAAAGACCTAAATGTGAGACAGGAGTCCATCAAAATCCTAAAGGAGAACACAGGCAGCAACCTCTTCGACCAAGGCCGCAGCACCTTCTTCCTAGAAACATCGACAAAGGCAAGGGAAGCAAGGGCAAAAATGAATATTGGGATTTCATCAAGATAAAAAGCTTTTGCACAGCAAAAGAAACAGTCAACAAAACCAAAAGACAACCGACAGAATGGGAGAAAATATTTGCAAATGACATATCAGATAAAGGGCTAGTATCCAAAATCTATAAAGAACTTATCAAACTCAACACCCAAAGAACAAAGAATCCAATCAAGAAATGGGCAGAAGACATGAGCAGACATTTTTCCAAAGAAGACATCCAAATGGCCAACAGACACATGAAAAAGTGCTCGACATCGCTCGGGATCAGGGAAATTCAAATCAAAACCTCAATGAGATACCACCTCACACCAGTCAGAATGGCTAAAATTAACAAGTCAGGAAACGACAGATGTGGGCGGGGATGCGGAGAAAGGGGAACCCTCCTACACTGTTGGTGGGAATGCAAGCTGGTGCAACCCCTCTGGAAAACAGTATGGAGGTTCCTCAAACAGTTGAATATAGAGCTACCATATGGTCCAGCAATTGCACTACTGGGTATTTACCACAAAGATACAAATGTAGGGATCCGAAGGGGTACGTGCACCCCAATGTTTATAGCAGCAATGTCCACAATAGCCAAACTGTGGAAAGCCAAGATGTCCATCGACAGATGAATGGATAAAGATGTGGTATATATACAGAATGGAATATTATGCAGCCATCAAAAGGAATGAGATCTTGCCATTTGCAACGACGTGGATGGAACTGGAGGGTGTTATGCTGAGTGAAATAAGTCAATCAGAGAAAGACATGTATCATATGACCTCACTGATATGAGGAATTCTTAATCTCAGGAAACAAACTGAGGGTTGCTGGAGTGGTGGGGGGTGGGAGGGATGGGGTGGCTGGGTGATAGACATTGGGGAGGGTATGTGCTATGGTGAGTGCTGTGATTGTGCAAGACTGTTGAATCACAGATCTGTACCTCTGAAACAAATAATACATTATATGTTAAGAAAAAAGAAAAAGAAGAAGATAGCAGGAGGGGAAGAATGAAGGGGAGTAAGTCGGAGGGGGAGACGAACCATGAGAGACGATGGACTCTGAAAAACAAACGGAGGGTTCTAGAGGGGAGGAGGGTAGGGGGATGGGTTAGCCTGGTGATGGGTATTAAAGAGGGCACATTCTGCGTGGAGCACTGGGTGTTATGCACAAACAATGAATCATGGAACACTACATCAAAAACTAATGATGTAATATATGGTGATTAACATAACAATAAAAATTTAAAAAAATAGTCTAAGTGTTCTAGATTCTCTCAAACTTCCTTTAATTTTGCCTATGAACAGGTGTACATTGACCTCTATCTTTCCCCTAAACGTCCCTTCTCAGTACTCCTATCTTTGATTACATTTCCTGCCACCCCTTCTCAAACATTTTCCTTCCCTCCTTACAAAATATATTTGAGATGTTGGTCCTTCATCAACCTATAACTTTTCAAATAATCTGGATTTTCCCCCCTATATCTCTAAGTCTACATTACTTTTATTTGAACAATTTTTTTTTTTAATTAGGGAATTAACCAGGAGTCCATGGATGGGATTTAGAGGGTCCTAAGCCCCTGAAATCATATGCAAATCAGATGCAAAATGTCTTATGTAACCACATCTTTCTGGGGATAGGCAGTACAACTGTTTTGAAGGGGTCAATTATTTTTCAAAATCGCATATAGCAAACATGGTTTTATAAAAATGTTTTTAATGCTAAAGGCATAATGGAATGGAGAGGAGAAATATAAAAAAAAAATCATGCATTTGACCTTTATGGTAAAATAATACATACTGACAGATTATAAGTTTGGGGGGCATTCTTCAAAGTAAGGGAACATTTTGGAAGAAAAAATTAGAATAAGTTTATATGAAAAGTTGAGGAAGAAGGAAGCAGAGTCTAGGAAGGGTGTGACAGAATGATGGGGAACAGGGCTGCCTCCATTATAATATTTCTTTAACTAGCATATAAAAAAACATTCTATATTTGGCTCATTAATGCAAAATCAATTTCTAGCGAAAATATGAAGCTCATACCAAAGTTTTTCTATATTGCTAGTTAAATTCAACTTAAGTTGAAGAGTTGGAGAGGTGAGTTATAAGGAAAAGTATTTTCAGGGCGCCTGGCTGGCTCAGTCAGTAGAGCATGTGACTCTTGATCTCAGGGTTGTAAGTTTGAGCCCCATGTTGCGATTACTTAAAAATAAAATCTTAAAAAAAAAAAAAGCATTTTCACCCTACCTCCTTCTCCTGAAAACTCTATTTGCATTCCACATCACTACCTAGAAATACTATATGTTCACACCTCTCATAAACTCAACAAAAAAAAGCAGGAGGCTTTTGGCCTCAACAACCTGTAGCTTGACAAGGGTTAGCAAAGCCCAGCTGTCTGGGGGAGGGGTGAGTGGGAAGTGTGGAAGACAGGCCCTGCCCTCCCCCGCCATCTCTCCTTGAGTACGACATTAAAATACCAGGAAGATAAACTCAACTCTTGGTTATTGCTAGTGCTGTTAGGGGAACCACTGTGAAAATACCTTGGATCACGAACGTCTCCACCAAAAATCACATACTTTCCCTGACACATACAGAACACTCACGTGCATTCTGAAGTAGCTTCTATAAGCACACAAAGGAAGAGAGAGCTGCCCTCAAAACTGCTCAGGTGAAGCCCATTCTTATTTCACTGCATAGGGCTGGCTGGAGTCAGTTTGGAAAGAGCTGGACCTCTGCTGGATTCAACAAAGCCAGATTTGGGGATGAGAGGCCAGGCTGTCCTGAACTCCTACAATGGCTTAGTCACTGTGACATGCCACATGCCAGACCCAGAGGCCCATGGACTCGAGGTGGGACAGAGACCGGGGCCACCACCACGGAGGCAGAGTTCATATTTGCCATCAATATTCTTGGGAGTTTAGAAAGCAGAAATACAAAAACAATATGGCCATAGCCAAAAGAAGAAGGGGGCCAGAGAGGGAGGCAAGAGCAAAGGGGGAAATGGGACTGAGATGAGGCAGGAGGGAAGGAAGTACTGGATGCCTCTCATCTCACAGAAAATTTTGGGGAACATGGATAGTGCATCTCACACCTTTATCCTATTAATAAGAAACCAAATCTCCAGTTACTTAACAGCTTTGTTTTCTTTATTTGGCATCTAAACCTAAGGAGTATGAAACATGCTTTTTATATCCTACAACTCTCCTGAGAAGGAAAATGAGAAAAGGGACTCTCCTTTTTTTTCTTCTCTAAAGCTCTGCAAAGTTCACCTGTTTTCATTTTGTAAAAAACAAACAAAAAACACACAGCTTAAATCAATCTAAATACCTCAAGTTCTCCTCTCCCCCCCTTAGAAATTAATTTGCCAATAACAATGTGGGGACAGAGACAACAAGAAAGAGGGAAGAATATCAGCATATAGCTTTGTGCTCCCTCTCCTCTCTTTGCTTTTGCAGTTTTAAGAAAAGTCAAAGTTAAAAAACCACAACACAAACACAAAACCGAAAGATGTCCAAAAGAAATACATAGCAAAGGAAAAAAATATTTACTTTTCCTTCCCTACCCCCCGCCCCCCTCAATTATTTAGCTTTCCTTAGGCACAGTTAACCTTCTGGCAACACCTTTACTCAGTCTTTCAAGCTCATCTATTTAAAAACAGTAAGATCTAAAATATCTGTACACCCTATTTCACAATCAACATCTTTTGATAAACTAGGAAATAAAAGAACATCTTGTTACTATAATGTGTAATCCTCCCTTCTAAGAAAAAACACTTGTATCAAATCCAACTAACATGATCCATTAAGAACAAGCTAGTTCTTTCTTAGAGGCTAACTTTGTACATGGAGGACATGAACTTTGAAAACAAACACTCAACAATTTTCCCAATAGCTCCGTGTTCAAATAACCCACTAAATTATACATTCCTCAGCATGCATCTATTTCTCTGAAGATACGCTCAAGAAATGCCCTTTCTAGTTTCTAATGGTGTTGAGATTGATATTAAAGACTGAAAAACAGTGAAAGCACCGAGACCCCCTCCTCCCCTCAGCCACTGAAATACTACCACACAGACCACTCTCAGTGCCCTCTCAACAAATGGCTTCTCCAACTCTGAGCCCACAACAAATGTGCAACCTGAGGCCCCAGCTGTGGCAGACAATGCCAGAAGCCGAACTCAGGACACTTTTAGCATTTACATAGAAGCTCACACAGGTGTGAGGAACCACAGCACCATGACCTGAGAAACAGACGCGCCCCCATTCCACACACGTACACATGCACTTCCACCTACGACCCTTCGATTCCAAAAGGCCACCAATGCTTACAGGACCTCCTACTTGAAAAACAATTTCAGGTGAATTTAAAATTCATTCTTGCTTGCTACTAACAAGGACTGTAAGTTCCTGAAAGGGGAGAATTTCTATTGCTCAAATCATGAGAAGAGGAGGAGGGAGGCAGAAGAGAAGGAAAGACTCTTGAGTAAGCATGAATAGAGGAAGGACCGTGAAAGCAAAGGGCCTAGCTTACAGTGCTAAAAAACTGGCCAAAATATACTATTTGTTCTTCAAGAAATTCCAACCATAGCCTTTCCTAAACTTTTTTCTTTTAGATCAACTTTATTGAAGTATAATTTATGTACCAAAAAATGCACCCATTATGGGGCGCCTGGGTGGCTCAGTTGTTGGGACGTGTCTGCCTTCGGCTCAGGTCATGGTCCCAGGGTCCTGGGATGGAGCCCGGCATTGCGCTCCTTGCTCCGTGGGAAGCCTGCTTCTCCCTCTCCCCCTCCCCCTGCTTGTGTTCCCTCTCTCGCTGTCTCTCCCTGTCAAATAAAATCTTTAAAAAAAATTTCCTTTAAAAAAATGCACCCATTTTCAGAGGGGGAGACGAACCATGAGAGATGATGGACTCTGAAAAACTGAGGGTTCTAGAGGGTAGGGGGGTGGGGGGATGGGTTAGCCTGGTGATGGGTATTGAGGAGGGCACGTTTTGCATGGTGCACTGGGTGTTATGAACAAACAATGAATCATGGAACACTGCATCAAAAACTAATGATGTAATATATGGTGATTAACATAACAATAAAAAAAATTAAAAAAAAATGCACCCATTTTAAGCATAGCGTTAGATGAATTTGGGCAACTGCACACACCAGTGTAACCACCACCACAACGATACAGAACATTTTCATATCCCTACAAAGTTAAAGTTCCCTTATGCCCTTTTTGCAGTCACTCTCCTCCCACCCCCATGGCCCCTAGCAATCACTGATCTGCTTTCTATCACCATGGGTTAGCGTGACCTTTTCTAAAACTTCATATAAATGGGAACAAATAGTATGTACTCTTCTGCACATACCCATATTTTGTATCAGTGGCTTGTTCCTCTTTATTGCTGAGTAGTATTCCCTTTGTATCAGTATACCACAATTTTCCAAACTTTTTTTTAAACAAAAAGGCAGCAATGGTTAACTCTAAAACACATACATAAAACTGGGGCACCTTGGGCGCCTGGGTGGCTCAGTTGGTTAAGCGACTGCCCTCGGCTCAGGTCATGATCCTGGAGTCCCAGGATTGAGTCCCGCATCGAGCTCCCTGCTCGGCAGGGAGTCTGCTTCTCCCTCTGACCCTCCCCCCTCTCATGTGCTCGCTCGCTCTCTCATTCTCTCTAATAAATAAATAAAATCTTTAAAAAAAAAAACTGGGGCACCTAGCTGGCTGTCAGAAGAGTGTGTGACCCTTGATCTCGCGGTCGTGAGTTCGAGCCCTACATTAGTTGTAGAGGTTACTTAAAATAATTAAAAAATAAAACATATACATAAAACTTTTCAAGAATACCATTATTTCTTTTCCTCAAGGTAACTGGAACCCATAAGTAACTGTATAAAGTGCAGACCACAAAACCTTTGGCTTCAGGAACATGAAGTTTTATTTTGTTTCACCTCCCGATACAATAACCTATTCAATCAGATGGAAAGAAAAATGATAACCTGAGATTTTTGTTTACTGCCAGCTCAAGATGTCATTCCAAGCCGAAGAACTATGAGGAAACTGTCTCCAAGCAAATTTTCATGTGCTGCTTCCTGAATGCCTGACCGAAAAATGAACTTCAGGGCTACAGTTTAATATGGTTCTGATCCTTCTGCTTTTGCCTGATTAGTGAGAATTTTGGATTTCATGCTGGCTCCTGAGTTACCCTACCACCAAAGGATGTTATGGGATTGCCCCAAGAAGTCCTGTTTAGAAAAGGAAATAAACATACCATTTAAAATTTGTGTAACCTAACCTAAAATCATGAAGACTACTAGTATTTTACAATTTGGGAAATATTGTTCTAACATATAATGTACATCCCTCACGTGGCACTTAGGTTTAGGATGGTTGCCTATAACAGGCATGTTATACCCTGAATGTAAATGTACTACCCTTAACCAGTTGTTGGGTACAAAGATAAAACAGTCTCTCAAAGATCTCCCAGTGAGCCCCAGCTATACCTGTGAAATGAGAAACTCTAATTCCCAGAAGCAAAAGGAAATCTCTGTACCCTCAGCCCCCACTGCCCTACCCGTGCCCAAGCAGGTCTTTATAACAGTTACAAAGGCAGGCAGCAGCATTTTCTAAGGGAGATGTCCTAGACTGAGAAGACTATTTCCTGTCCACTCTGCTTAATCAATTAGTGGGTGCTCTGAGCTCACCACCAAGTTCTGGGCCTCAGTTTCTTTTTTCTATCAAATGAGGCCGCTGACCTAGAATGGACTCTCATGTACCCTCTAGTCTGAAAGCTGTAATAGGAGTCTCATAAAAGAGCAATAATCCCAAGACTGAAAGGAGAAAAGTTGCATATTTTTTGAATCATAATAGAATTTGTGAACATGATATCCAAAATTCTGACAGAAACATCAGTCATAGGAGCCTGGGTGGCTCAGTTGGTTGTCTGCTTTTGGCTCAGGTCACGATCTCAGGGTCCTGGGATCAAGTCCTGCATCGGGCTCCCTATTCAGCAGGGAGTCTGCTTCTCCCTCTCCCTCTGCCCTGCTCCTGGTCTCTCTTGCTCACGCTCTCTCTCTCTCAAAAAAACAAATAAAATCTTAAAAAAAAAGAAAGAAAAGAAAGTCTCAATTCTCCATTTATAATTCTTGGATGTTACAGTCTATAAATACTTTCATTTTGTCTACCATTACCTCTTGTTTTCCTCTAATTTGAGTATTATCCCTAAAAAAAAAGCATTGAAATTAAATCTTATTAATGAGTTGCAGTCTTCACATTTAACTTTACGTATCTGTGTGCCTGTTGTCTGAATACTGATGCTTAAGGGTTTTTATTATGACACTGTATAGAACACGACATTTTGATTAAGAATAAATCTCTAGAGGGTGAAAAGTTTCCTTGGGGGGGAAAAATACCACTTCATTTTGCAATAGTTTTTTCCTGGGCAACATGCTTTTGATTTTTCATGAAACTGCAAAGGATCACTTAAAGCTTAACATTCGGTATGAAAGGTTTTTTTTTTTTTTTATACAGTCACAATTAGAAGGCTGTCTTAGAATCCACATTAGACAACCCTGTATAATCCAAAATTCCATTCAATTTCCCATAAGCATCTAAAGCAAGCACTGCTTTCCCCAATATCAGTCACAGACTCTGGTTCAGGACAGGCAGCCACTCTGCTCCAGCACCATCCACCCCCTGCCTGCTTCTTCCTCTCGCTCTTCAAGTTAACAGCAGCTAAAGCTGAGCTTCCACTGCTGGACGAGAGTGCAGAGAGGGGGCCTGCAAGTCCACACCGGAATCTGGAAAAGGAGAGATGGCTGCACTCGAAGAACAAAAGCCTGCCTCATGGATGAAGCACTTTCCAAGACAGGAACGGCAGGCTGAGAGAACACCGGCTGGAGCGCTTGTGCAGGCGCATGGTCCTTCTTAGTACTAAATGTCCCAAGCACTTGGAGAGGAAGTAAACAAGGATCCGGGTTATGCAGGCGTCCGTGTGGCCCGGGGCAGCCAAGGCTTGGTCGGTCAAGACTCCCGACTCCCAGCCAGGGGGCGCTGACATCACGAAGCTCCAAAATGTGGGCTGCGTGTGACCAGGAAAAATTACAAAGGCCACTTTAAATACTGCCTGTATTTCTCTCTACCAGTTAGATATTTTTTTTATTTTCAAAAACAATAATTTTCTGAAAAAGTTAAGTAAAGCCGGAACATGGAAAACAGCTACATGCAGAATGGTACACAGGAATAGCACACAGGTACCTTGATACCACCCATTTTTATCCTCAGGACACATCTGCATCAAACTATTCCAACTCCACCAGACCAAAAACAGGTTTGGCTGTTCGGTCTTAGAAAATAGCCTCAGGAATATCAATCTTTAAATGTCCTACTGCAGAACCTTCAACGTTATCATTATGTTTACTTAATAAATGCTAAGCAACTAAGATACTATCATTACTTTCCATCAAAAACTGTTTAAATATTCCTTCAAGCTTTTCCATTTCCCAGTCACACAAAAACAAACTGTGGGTTTTTTTTTTCTTTTTTCCTTTTTTGCCTAGTTGCAGAAAATAATCCCAGCAGAGCCGAAAGCATCCTGCTGAGGTTTTGAGCTTGAGGGCAAGACCCAGTCAAGCTGTATTTCTCTGTTTCTCCCACCTACTATACTCTGGGAGGCCCAGACCATGGTTTCCCAGCCAGCAGGACACTGTATCTTGACTCACCACAAAGACAGTCTCCGTGTGTCTTGATATTCTAAGTTTCTTCTTAGCCTGTGTCTTTGGGGTGGGGGATGAGGGACCAGGGAATATAAAGATATAAAATAGAAGCAGTGCTGACCAGAAGGAAGAAGGGAGAGAGCTTTTTCTATATCTACACACATATATCTCATTTTGTATAACAGATGTATTCTTGTAAAGTTGACCTTAACTGAATTTCTGAAATCTGATTCTTTAAAATGTAACAGCTCATTAATTAAAGAAATGTGATTGTACAACAAACTCAGTTTGTATCTTTTTGTAAACCTTAATTTGTCATATAGTTTAGTTTAAAAAAGTAATACTATTATATCCAGGTAATGGTCCGTGCAAATGAATCAGCACACTAGCAAAAGAGTAAGTCCAAGTGCAGAGAGAAACAGGAATTGAATTTTTAAATATATTAAAAAATAGTTCAAAAGTAATTTACTCAAAAACCAGCTCACACATATCATCTCTACCTTTGTTGTATTTATCAATTTGAAGATGATGAAATAAGACACATTCTTAAATGAGGTCACAAGCAATGCAACTGGTTAGCAGATCACTGCAACAACTAGAGCTTTAAACTATGTTCAAGTTGTCTTAAAAACTGTCTTTCTTGGGGCGCCTGGGTGGCTCAGTCAGTTAAGCATCTGCCTTCGGTTCAGGTCATGATCCCAGAGTCCTGGGATCGAGCCCCGCATCAGGCTCCCTGCTCAGCGGGAAGCCTGCTTCTCCCTCTCCCACTCCCCCAGCTTGTGTTCCCTCTCTCACTGTCTCTCTCTGTCAAATGAATAAATAAAATCTTTAAAAAACAAACAAACTGTCTTTCTTCATTTTAAAATGGAAC